AAGGAGATAGTAAGGCACTCTGAGGCACCTTTGGGTAGTGAAGGGCAGGGTATAAATCCAAACTCTTCTTATTATTCTTTTTCTTCTCCTCCCAGATTAGAGTCTGTGCTCTTAACCACTACACTGAACTGGCATCATGACCCCGGTATTCCTTGGAAAGTCCTCTGAAGCCTGATTTGAATCACCTATTGTGGACAACATAAAAAGGTGCCCCTGAACATGTGCAGAATGCTTCTCTGTCCTCAATGGAGGAGCCACTGCTAGGTCTCTTGCATCGTGTGGTAGAACAAAGGGTATGGCTTCCAGACTTGGCACGGCACTGTGCTTCTGGTTCCCACAGAGGTTCCTGCAGAGCCACCTCAGTCTGACTCTGAGCCCGCATGGGAGTTCTACTAGAGCTTCATTTAAAGACGGAATTCTCAAACTCATGATTGGTGACTCCCCCTCCCCTCTGAGAACTCTCCAGCAAAAAAAAAAAAGGCTAGAGTAGAATAGATGGGGAATTGCTTTGTGATTGGAAGGAGGTGAGCTCAGAACAGTGACTAATGCAGATATACAACAGCCGCCCTCCTCTGAAGGCAGGTGATGCATTTCTGCGTGGGGAGCAGTTGACCGAGCTGGTGCACACCTGATGCAGAGGTGGTCCAGCAGGCTGGTTGAAAGGGCAGGCCAGAGCAGTAACTCATCCAGAGACACATCCCATGAGCTCCTGGCTAAGTGGATGTTTTACGTTTATCAGAGCTGTTTGGGACTTTTATTCATTTCTATCTGGCTGCTTGCAAACGGGCCCAGGTATTGTGAGAATCGCCGGCTTCAGCTTCTCTCTCTGTGACCTGTCCTTCGTGCAAGAGGAGAAGAAGAATTGTCTCTGGACTGTCTTGCGCTTCAGTTTCGGTGACAAGCACTGTTGCCCATTTTTGCTCTGGCTGTTTGAAGGTGGATTAACTCTCCGAGACCTCTGGGACGGTTTTCCAAGAGTGCAAAAACATGTCGAGTGAAATGAGATTCCTGCAGCAGGCTTTGAAGTGGCTGTTGAGACCACCCCAAAAAGGCAAATGCCAATTCCAATCCCCCCACCCCCCCCCCCCCCAGCACAGGCATTTGGTTCCTGGCAGCTCCTGGAGTGATTGATCCCTTGAGGAGTCGGAGCCCAGGCAGACCTCCTGACCTTTCAGCAGGCTGCATGCCGTTCAGGAGAGCTGCACTGAAGTGTCGAAGGAGCCAGGGTCAAATTCAGGGCCAGCCACCACTATTCCTTCTGACCTTTGGCTGAGTGTTTTGGAGAGGTTATTTCCCCTCCACCTGTGAGACCTGGGCTAGTCCTGCTGTATACTGCATTGGTCAGGCCGCACCTGGAGTGCTGTGTGCAGTTCTGGAGGCCTCACTTCAGAAAGGATGATCTTCTAATTGAATTGTTAAGATTCTCATTGATTCCGATGTGGTTTTTGAATGTTGTGGAGATGCACCTCTATGTTACTGTATTTTGGTTAATGACATTTGTGTAGAATAATATATAAATAAAAGTTTTTTAAAAAAGAAAGAAAAGAAAGGATGTGGACGGAATGGAGCGGGTGCAGAGGAGAGCGACGGGGATGATGGGGCCCCCGGAGACCAAGCCCTGTGAGGAAAGGCTGAGGGACTTGGGAAGGTTCAGTCTGGAGAAGAGGAGGTTGAGAGGGGGACAGGATTGCTCTCTTTTAAGTATCTGAAGGGCTGCCACTTAGAGGAGGGCAGGGAGCTGCTCCTGTCGGCAGCAGAGGAGAAGACTCGCAATAATGGGTTGAAATTAAGGGCGGGAAGGCCCCGGCTGGGTATTAGGAAAAACTTTTTTACAGTAAGAGTTGTTCAACAGTGGAATTGGCTGCCTGGGGAGGTGGTGAGCTCCCCCTCACTGGCAGTCTTTAAGCAGCGGCTGGACAAACACTGGTCAGGGATGCTCCAGGCTGATCCTGTATTCAGCAGGGGGTTGGACAGCAGGGACTGTATGGCCCCTTCCAGCTTTGTGATTCTATGATTCTACTCTGTTTGTGTGGCTTCTAAAAAGTTTTATTGGAGTCGCCTACCTCACAGGATTGTTGTGACGATAAAATGGAGGAGAATGATGTAAGCTGCTTTGGGTCCCCCGTTGGGGAGGGAGGCAGGATATAAATGAATTAAATTAAAATAAATAAAACAAATACTGCTTTTTTGGCCACTGTTTATCAATTTATTGCTGTTTTTAGGTGACTCTTGTTTTGCTGTTCTGATTTTGTGGAAGTCTGTGGAGGTGGAGAGACGAGAGATGAGTGTTTCCGACAAACAGATCTGTAATCCAGTGCTTTGGGAGATCAGCTGTGATCTCTTCTGGTGTTTTGAAAGGTTCAAGGCAACTGGGGTGGGAATGGGGGGAGATTGGACTAGGGCTGGGGGGTGCCAGGGGGCAGAGGCCAATTTAACCCTTCTCTCCCATGCTGTTGGTGTTTTCCCCATCTCTGTCCCCTCCCCCACAACTGGTATTTGCCCCACTGGAGGAATTTCCCATCATGGGGCAAATAACAGCTCTGGGGAGGGGAGTATTTGAATCCTGGAAAACGGTGCAGAGTTCAGCAGAGAAACCCCTGGGCCTGTCCAAAAAGCAGGTTTCCATGGGACTGCCTTCTGCCTTGATCACATAACAATTGGATGAAGCCGCCTTATTCTGAATCAGGCTCTTGGCCTATCCCAGTCGGTATTGTCTGCTCTCTCCGACCAGTGTCTCTCCAGGGTGGAGGTCTGTCCAGTCTTGGACCACAACTTGTCTGTAGAGTAGCAGGTCAGTGTTGTGGCCAGGACTGCCTTTCGCTTAACTCCAGACAGGGATATCCACCCGTTTTTGGACACAGCTGATCTGACAACCTTGGTCCACGCTACTGTGACCTTGAGACTAGACTACTGTAATGTGCTGTTACGTGGGGCTGCCCCTGAAGATGAATTGGAAGTTGCTGTTGGTCCAGAATGCAGCAGCTTGCCTATGAAAGGGTGTTAGCTAGGCCATCTGTATGGCAGTGGTATCTGGATCCAATTCAAGGTGCTGGTTTTGGTGTTTACAGTCGAATACCACATTCTTGAAGGACTGCCTGTCGGCCATAGAGCCCAGATGATCCTTAAGATCCTCACAGCCAGGTCTGCTGTCTTCCCTCCTGACTACCAGGGAAAAATATTGTCTGTGGTGGCCTTGTCCTTAGGGAACTGGCTGCTAGTTGCAGTCAGGGGTGCCTCCTCTCTCACCCAGTTGAGACGGTCAGAGCTAGGCGGTCTTCTTAAGTCAGGCTGTTTCCTAATAGTTTTAGTAGTTATTTCTTATGTTGTTGTTCAGCCGCACAGTCAAGTCCGACTCTTCGCGACCCCATGGAGTAGCTGCCGCCAGGCTTTCCTGTCTTCCGCTGTCCTCTGAAGTTTGCTCAATTTCATGTTCGTTGCATCGATAATGCTGTCTAGCCATCTCATCCTTTGCCGTCCCCATCTTCTTTGGCCTTCAATCTTTCCCAGCATCAGGGTCTTCTCCAGTGAGTGCTCCCTTCTCCTTTGGTGGCCAAAGTATTTGAGCTTCAGTTTCATTATTTGGCCTTCCAGGGAACAGTCAGGGTTGATTTCTTTTAGGATTGACTGATTTGATCTTCTTGCAGTCCAAGGGACTCTCAAGAGTCTTCTCCAGCACCATAGTTCAAAAGAATCTATTCTTCGGCGCTCGGCCTTCCTTATAGTCCAACTCTCACAGCCATACATGACTACTGGGAATACCATTGCTTTGACCATGCGGACTTTTGTTGGCAGGGTGATGTCTCTACTTTTTATCATGCTGTTTAGGTTCGCCATCGCTTTCCTCCCAAGGAGAAGGCGTCTTTTAATTTCATGGCTGCTGTCACAGTCTGCGGTGATCTGGGATCCCAGGAACGTGAAGTCTGTCACCACTTCCACGACTTCCCCTTCTATTTGCCAAGGAGTGATGGGGCCGGATGCCATGATCTTAGTTTTTTTGATGTTGAGCTTCAAGCCCACTTTTGCGCTCTCCTCTTTTACCCTGAGCAAGAGGGTCTTTAAATCCTCTTCACTTTCTGCCATTAGAGTGGTATCGTCTGCATATCTGAGGTTATTGATCTTTTCCCCAGCAATCTTAATTCCCAATTGTGATTCATATTGGTATTTAAATGCATGTCAGGTTCCCAGTTTGTTCTTAATCTGTTTGCTTGTATTGTAAACCACTTTGAGCAACAAAGAAAAGGGGAGGGGGCGGAAATATAGTAAAAAAATATAACCCATACGCTATTTAAAAAAAACAAAAACACAAGAGCTGGACATGCTGGGAATTGAACCTGGGATTTTTTTGCATGCAAAGCAGATGCTCTGTCCCTGAGCTGTGGCCGCTTCCCAAGCCTTAAGAGAAAACAAATCCAGCAACCTGGGAGAGTCTAACAACAGGCCTCACGTCTACCCTGGCTTTCTGAAGCCTTTCAAGCCAGTGCCCTTCCTGACAGCTACAATGTGAGAAACGGGCTAAAATACCTCAAAACAGTGAACGAGCCAGAAATGCGGTCCGTGCTGCATGCTGCATTTTTAGATGCATGCTTAAAATCAAAGGCAGCAAACCTCCGTGCACGATGAGGCGAAAAGCCCCTGGACTTCCTGTTCCCTTTATGCCCACATTGTGCCCTCTCCAAGTGGCACCACAGCTCATTCCCGTGAGCCACGGTGGTTTCTTGTTGTTGTTTCCAAAGTGCTGGGAGAACACACGGCCAGCAGCCCTTGTGAGAATACCACCCCCCCCCTTCTGTCCATACTACCCAGACAGCTAGCCAGCTCTCCCAGTCTTTCCAAAGACACCGGGCCAAACAAATGGAGAAACGAAGAGAGACCCGAACTCAAAGTACAAATACTCTGGCAAGGGAATGAATGAATAACAGAAGGCAAGCAGGCTTTATTGATTTAAGAATATTTGCCTTGTTATCTGAACACGACGACCTTGCCAATTTGCCTTTTAACAGGTTGGCGGGTAAGGCTGTGGGTGCTCTCTCTTATTCAAACTACTACGGGGTGTTTGAGTCCAGTGGTACTTTTAAAACAAGCAAAGTTTAATTCTGGGTATAAGTTTTTGCGTGCGTGCACATTGCTTCAGATATCCGAAGAAGGGTGCATGCACGCAAAAGCTTATACTCGGAATTAAACTTTGTTGGTCTTAAAGGTGTCGCTGGACTCAGATTTTGTTCTGTGGCTTCAGACCCACACGGCTGCCCACCGGAATCTACTATGGTGGGTATGTGGTTTGTGTGTATGTACCTGAAAGAAAAAGGGTGGCAGCAAAAACGACACCCCCTTAATTACATTGCTGAAACCTCTCCTTGCCCTTCCTGCCCCTGGAGGTTCATCCTTGGTTTTGGTGGTGGTGAGAAATGTCAGGATGCCCAGGGTCAGGCTCTGGCGACTCTCTGGGGGGAGGGAATTCCAGAATCGAGGGGCAGTGATGCCAAAAAAGGCATCTCTGGGCATTCTTGTGGCCTTGTTTTGATGCCTGCTTAGACGGTTGGTTTTCAGATAGGGATGCTTGCTGTTGCGTTTTACTGCCTCCTTCAACTCTGAATTCCCCGCTTTCATTCTGTTTCTTTCTTGTGTGGAGGGGCTGCGGCTCAGTGGCAGAGCATCGCCTTGGCATGCAGAAGGTTCCAGGTTCAATTCCCAGCTGCGTCTCCAGTTAAAAGGAGGAGGCAGTGTAAAAGACCTCTGGGAGAGCGGCTGCCAGACTGAGTAGGCAATGCTGACTTTGATGGAGCAAGGGTCTGATTCAGTATAAGGCAGGTTCATGTGTGTTCAATGTATGAAAGCCCTGTTTTAGGGGACGGGCTGTGGCTCAGTGATAGAGCATCCCCTTGGCATGCAGAAGTTCCCAGGTTCAATCCCCAGCATCCCCAGTTGAAAGGACTAGACAGCAGGTGATGGGAAAGACCTCTGCCTGAGACCCCAGAGAGCCGCTGCCAGTCTGAGTAGACAATGCTGACTTTGATGGAGCGAAGGCCTGACTCAGTATAAGGCAGGTTCATGCATATTCATGTATGAAAGCCCTGCTTTAGGGGACGGGCTGTGGCTCAGTGGTAGAGCATTTGCTTGGCATGCAGAAGGTTCCAGGTTCAATCACCGGCATCCCCAGTTGAAAGGACCAGGCAGCAGGTGACATGAAAGACCTCTTCTGCCTGAGACCCTGGAGAGCTGCTGCCAGTTCTGAGTAGATAATACTGACTTTGATGGACAGAGGGGCTGATTCAGTATAAGGCAGTGTGTGTCCATGTGAATCCTTGAGCCCTTATTTGCTCGCCATTTTCTGGTGGTCCTCAGCTGTTCAGAGGCGGGAGGGAATATCTTCCAGGGATGCATCCACATACTTGTGACTATTGTGCAATCATTTGCAACTGGACTGTTTGGTCTGCAAAGGACAATCCCGTGGCCAGCAATGGCTATTGCACAAACATTTGCAACTGGACTGTTTGGTCTGCAAAGGACAATCCAGTAGCCAGCAATGACTATTGTGCAATCATTTGCAACTGGACTGTTTGGCCTGAAAAGGACAATCCAGTGGCCAGCAAAAGCTACTGTGCAATCATTTTCAACTTGACTGTTTGGTCTGCAAAGGACGATCTAGTAGCCAGCAATGACTATTGTGCAAACTGGACTGTTTGGCCTGCAAAGGACAATCCAGTGGCCAGCGATGGCTATTGCATGAACATTTGCAACTGGACTGTTTGGTCTACAATGGACAATCCAGTGGCCAAAGATGGTTATTGTGCAATGATAATGCAATATCCAAAGATGTGTAGACGTGGCCCAGCTTCTTGCAGAACAATGGGACAGTGCAAACACCATCCACCCCTACCGGAGGAGCAGGATGGAAATGAAATCGGTTAGCTTCTTAGTGCTGCAGTCAATATTTACTCATTGATGCTGTGTCACTAAGCTTAGGCACAAAGGGGTTTTGTTTTTGTGGCAGGGAGCAGGAAGGCAGGTGTGAATCGCTTCCCTAAAGGTAGTTTTTTTTTTTTTTTGGCTGCTTTTCCCCACAGGCTGGTTTCCTCCATCCAAGCCATGATGGCAACACTCTCAGGCCTCGTCGTCATCTTTAGCTGCAAGGACGTGGTGCACGACAGGTGAGGAAAACAAAGCGAGCCGTATAAAGCCAAGGCAGGGGTGCGGGAAGGACTTTCACCCAGAGACGAGGCACAGAGCACCAGCTGCGGCCCTCTCTGTACTCTCGCTGAAGAACTAGCCCTGCGGCTGAATTCCAAGGGACACGATTCCCAAGGCCGCCGGCGTAGGATTGGGGCTCCTGCTGGCATGCCACTGACTGAGAGGATGGTAAGATCGGAATCAGGCTCAAAGAGTATGCAGTCTTGGAGTTCCGGGGCTGGGAGAATGGGCATGCAGTCTATCCGGCTGGATTGGGATTGTGGCACTTGTGTGTGTGTGTCTGGGGCCCTTCCCCCCCCCCATTTTTCAAAGCCGCAAGGAGGGGGCATTTCTGATTGGGGAAAATAACAAAAGAGTGACCTCCCCCTTCCCCCGTGCTGGGGTCCCAGGGCAGACTGGCCCTTCTCCCCTCAGCTCTGAACTCACAGAAGGCCTAATCAGCTCTGGGTGGCTGTCCCTGTAGCCAGGTGTGGAGCGTGTCAAGGCAAGGCAGTCGCTGGAGCTCCCTCACTCTGCCGCCCGACCGAAGGCCCTGGTCCGAGTCTTGGGCTGCAGGATTTCTGGGCCGAGGCTCTGTCAACGGGACCCCTGAACCCAGCGGAGGCCAACTGAGAATCCCTTAATGGCACCCGGTCTTATTACTAAAGGGGAGATGGTTCCATTGTGGAAGGAGAAGTGCCTTTGGGAGTGTCAGTAAATACCCCGATCGGGAAGGCTCTGTTCGTGTTTGTACCGGGGCCTGTCCAGCCCCCTGACCTGGTCAGATCTCAGAAGCTAAGCAGGGTCAGCCCTGGCTAGTCCTTGGATGGGAGGCCACCATGGACTGCCAGACTTTTTAAGCAGAGGCAGGCAACGGCTAACCACCTCTGAACGTCGCTTGCCTTGAGAACCCTAGAGAGCCCGTTCGGTGTCGTGGTTAAGAGCGGCGGAGTCTAATCTGGGAGAACTGGCTTGGATCCCCCATTCCTCCACAGGCAGCTGGCTGGCGTGACCTTGGGTCAGTCATACAGTTCTTTCAGAGCTGTTCTCTCAAGAGCAGTCCTCGAGAGAGCTCTCTCAGCCCCACCCACCTCACAGGGTGTCTGTGGTGGGGAGGGGGAGGGGAAGGGGATTGTCAGCCGCTCTGAGAGTCCTCGGGGTAGTGAAGGGCGGGGCATAAATCCAGTCTCTTCTTCTTCTTCCTATGGAGTCCCCTTGTCAGCTGCGACTTGACGGCGCTTTACCCTACCGCTGTCCAATCCCAACACCCCACTCTGCCTGCCTGCCTGCCTGAGGTCTGCTGTCCCATTTCCTTCTGCACCCCGAGGCAGGTTTGGAGACGCACTGAGCAGTCCTGATCTCAGTAGCTTGGCTGGAGCAGTCAGCAGCTTGAGACTGTGAAGTTCCTGGTTCAGGATCCCCAGCGGGTCTGTCCCTCATGCAGTCCCGATACCATCAAGGAAGTGTGTTGCTCACGGCTGCAGAAAACTTATCTCCATTGTTCTGGCCGGCTCTCCAGCGTCTCTTGTTTACTGGCTGCTTCTCCCCCATATAGTTGGGTCCCTTTCCTTTTGCCCCAAGTGACGGGCAGCCAGCGCTCTTCAAGACGTGTTGCCTGGAGGGGTGATTGCAACAGGCTTCTGCTAGTGTTCAGACATTTCAGTGATGCCATCACCGCTGCTTTGCTAGTCTGGCAAGGACGGAGGAGGCAAGCCTTACAAACTCCTCCTTGTTTTGTCTGTGCCTTCAGGAAGCTTTTATCTGCCCGTTTTGCCCCACCCTTTCTCCCAAGAACCTCCGGGGTGGCACGCATAGTTTTCTCGCCGGCCCCTGTTTCGTCCTCACAACAACCACCCTGTGAAGTAGGCTGCCAAGAGAGACTAGCCTAGAGCCACCCAGTGAGGTTGAGGGCAGAGCGTGACCTCGGAAGCTCTAGCCTCTACACAACACTGCCTGTTGTGCCCCTCTTTGTGTTGCACGCAAAGACACTTTGCCCAGGAAGCAAGCCAGGGCAGGCTCCTTGGAAAGGAATTAGCTGTAGAGGTGAGAGGGCACTTTGTACACGGCTCAGAGAACGAAGCATGCATTGTGTATGGGGAACAACACCGTATGGTTCCCTGGGGGCTCTGAAGTTCTCCCAGCAGCCCTTTCTTCAGGGTTCAGCCCTATTAGAGTCGTACGGCTTCCTTTCCCTTTCGTTGTCGAGGGCAGGGAACGCTGTGACCATCCTGCCTGGCAGATGGCAGGAGTCATGCTCAGGGTGGGAGTCGAGACGGTGTCATCCTGCCTGGCAGATGGCAGGAGTCATGCTCAGGGTGGGAGTCGAGACGGTGTCAGTTCGGTGTAGTGGTTAAGTGCGCGGACTCTAATCTGGGAGAACCAGGTTTGATTCCCCACTTCTCCACATGCACCTGGCTGGATGACCTTGGGTAAGCCGTAGTTCTGATAAGAGCTTTCCTTGAAATAGAGCAGTTTCTGTCAGAGCTCTCTCAGCCCCACCTACCTCACAGGGTGTCTGTTGTGGGGAGGGGAAGGGAAAGGAGTTTGTAAGCCACTCTGAGACTCCTCTGGGGAGTGAAGGGCGGGGTATAAATCCCATATCTTCTTCTTCATATGTCTGACGGCTGCTGAGTGGAGGCTGGTGAGCAGGGCGGGGTTCTGTTGTGGTTGTGGCAGTTGTTGCTGTTGTGGCTGACGCAGGTGGAGCGCTTTATTCCAAGGAAGGGCTGCGGAGTAGAAAGTCCTTATCTCTTTGCCATTGGGAATCCCGCTGTCCATCTTTCTCCCCAAAGACCCCCTACTTTTCTCCAGCTCCTTTCCACATAACCCCAATGATTAAACATGCCCCCGTAAAGTCCCTGCCATGAATAGAAACACTTTTCACCGTCTCTTTCCTCCACTGCCCGGACACCCATTCCATGCCATAACCTTGTCCTATCTATTTCTCCCACCCACATCCAGCCCCCTCCTTTTCTTCCTTAGCTGTCCACCCCCTTCTCTAGTCTGTCCCCCCCCCCCCCCAACACTGCCTTCCAACAATCCCCATTTAGCTATGCACACACAGCTGGTAAAATAAGTGGTCAACCTCAGATAAACAGGTGTGGGTCATGGCGACCCCTTTCCGTGCTCTTTTACTCTTTTGAAACATTTTTATTTCCTAATGCATAAACATGGAAGAACCTTTACACTGGCACGCTGCAGTGCCCTTCTGATAGCAGAAATGGCAGGACAGTACATAAAGCAGCAGTTACTAATCGCTCATGTAAATATGATACAAATCAAGTAGAGCCATTATTTCATGTAATGTTATATTGCCCTCTGTACAATAAACAGAGAGAGAAATATATCATCCATTGGATAAGGAAGTTAGATGAAACGTCTGAGATTCAAAGGATAAGCTTTCTTTTAAATGGCTCATTACAAATGTTAACCAGCTTCAAGAGGGGACTGGATAAACATATGGAGCAGAGGTCCATCAGTGGCTATTAGCCACGAGGTATAAATGGGGCATGGGGCCGCGGTGGCTCAGAGGTTATGATGCTGAGTTGTGGACCGGAAGGCTGGTAGCTCAGTAGTTTGAGACCCTAGTGCTGCTCCTGTCTCTGGTCCCAGCTCCTGCCAACCTAGCAGTTCGAAAGCAAGAAATTGCACGTAGATAAATAGGTACTGCTTTGGTGGGAAGGTAACAGCATTCCATGATCCTTGGCGTTTAGTCATGCTGGCCACATGACTATGGAAAAGTCTTTGGAGAGCGCTGGCTCTTCGGCTTGGAAAAGGAGACGAGCACTGCCCCTGAGAGTCAGATTCAACTGGCTTTCGAGTAAGGGAAACCTTTATCTTTTTATCTATAAATGGAACACTCTGTCTTGGGCAGTGATGCTCTGTATTCTCGGTGCTCGGGGGCAACAGCAGGAGGGCTTCTGGAGCTCTGGCCCTGCTGGTGGGCTTCCTGATGGCACCCAGGTTTTCGCCACTCTGTGACACACAGTGTCAGACTGGATGGGCCATTGGCCTGTTCCAATACGGCTTCTCTTATGTTCTTATGACATAGCAAAGTTTCTTTCAGCAGCCTTTTTAATAAGGGAGAAAAACACCTCCTAAAGTCAGCAGATGGCCTTTTTTGGCTAATAAGCATTAGGAACAGGCTGTGACTACTTAATGGTGAGGGAACTACATTCTGCACATGCCCAGAAGGTACTCTTGGCTAGATTCCCATTTGCAAAATGGAATCCTGGAGCAACAAGATATCTAAAGTAGCTTCCCCGGAGAGCTTTCCTTCTATGTTAATGTTTATGGCATATGCAGAGCTAGCGTGGTATACTAGTTAGACTGTCCATTTAGGACTGGGGAGTTCTGGGTTAAAATTGGCAATTGAATATAGGTATAATAATCTGTGTATTAGATTCTCTGAATTCCCTGCCTTCATTAAAAAAGAAAAGAAAAAAGACCTGCACCCAGGTCTCTCGCACCTGGCCCAACCACTATGCTGATAGAGGACAGGTGATGCCAGTGATATTCTGGGAGGCGATTTCTGGCATCAGGGGGGAAAGGGGAAAGTTAATTCATTCCGACTCCAGACTTGCACTTTCCCACACTACTGAAATTTGCCCTGCAAGTCCCTTGAGGGCAGAGACCTGTCGCCGTTTTACCTTGTACAGCCCGTTGATGGTGCTTTGTGGATGACGGGACATTCAGTTCCATGAGATCTGCACAGGCATCCCCAAGGCGTCTCAACACGGTGGGGTCATAGTCAGTTAAACGTCCTCAGGATTGTGCAAGCTTCATTGCTAAAGTGGGGAAAGTGTGCTGTAGTTTCTCAATAGCCCTCCCTGCATGTGCACAAAGAGACTCAAGAGAAGTGCTGCATTTTAAACTCCCCAACCCCCAGATTTTTAAAGTCTCAGATAAGAGTCCGGGGTGACAAGATTATGAAGTGTAAATCAATCCCCCTTTTCCTGAGCATGCAGACCAGGGGTCTCCAACGGGGTGCCCTGGGTGCCGTGGTGCCCGCCAAAAGGGCAGTCAGTGGTAGGCAGAGCCAACTCATTCTGTTTCTGTCTCTATCCCCTCCCCTCGCAGTGATATTAGAAAACATGCAAGCACAGATCCCTATGCAGGTTCCAGACTTATACTACCTCTCCTTCTGCAACTATTTGTAATACAGAACAGAAATCCTGCTACGCGATTCCCCCCCCTTCCTAAAACCCACTATTATTTTCAACACAGCAGTCAGAAGAAAGGTTTATGAGACAAACTAAGGTTAGGAGCACTGCGGTTTTCCATTTGATCCACAGCTCCCCCAAACCCTAACTCAAGAACTCGTTTTCCACAGCAAAGAGGCCTTTTGGCATACTCAGAAGTCAAAGGTATTCCCTCACCACTAAGGCATTAACTACATACAACCAGCCCAAACCAGATTGAGGGTTCCTGGTTTCAGAAAGAGAGGTTTTCAGGAGCCCCGGCATCTTTTCAGGAGGTTACTATTTTTCAGAAACCCTAGTAACAAAAGGATCGAGAGCATGCACAGAGTGCCTTTAATCATCATTCACTGATGGTGTGACCCTCTGCATGTTTGATCAGAACTAAACCCTTCATTCAATGGGATTCACTCTCAAACATGCATAGGATTGCGGCCTGGAAGAGGTTTGGTTTTCTAGGGGCAAGAAAGTTTATATTGGACAGGGGGACGCATGAGCCTTTTTTCTCAAGTACATAGGATGTTCAATAGCTGGCAGATGAAGGTCCATTAATGGCTGTTAGACTTTAAGGTGAAATAGAGCCTCCATGCACAGGAACAGTCTACCCCTGAATATCAGTCGCTGATGACAGAGCACAGATGATGGCGTCTGCCCTCCTCCTCCTTGTGAGAGATTCCCGGAAGCACATGGGCGGTCCCTGACCGAATTGTGGTTTGATCCAGCCACCCTATCCTTCGTCTACATCGCCCCACTGGTATTGGATTTATGCTGATATGCAGCAGTGCTTAATGCCAGATATTATGGGATAGATGGCACCCACATAGCATTGGGTATTTGACAGCTGATGGATTGTGAAATTTTGTATTTGACATCTGCCACAGCAGCGCTGAGTCCATTGACATATCACCTTGGATTGGCAGAAATGAAATTGGGGAAAACCCTACCTTTTCCGCACAGCTCTCCTTTACATTCCCATGTCCTCGGCCAGGGCCTTTTCGGTCCTGGCCCCAACCTGGTGGAACTCTCTGCCAAATAATATCAGGGCCCTGCAGGATCTTATGCCATTCTGCAGGGCCTGTAAGGCAGAGATGCTGTTCCGCCAGGCCTTTGGTTGAAGACAGCGACGGTCTCCATCATAGCTGGCACCCTTTCTGCTCCAGCTGCTTTTCATATCTGCTTTGTCCTCCTCTCCCGTGCCTGTGAAGCGGCCGGCAATCTGAAACAGGACCAGTTAATATATGGCCATCTTCTTGTTTGAAATAGGTTATTAATGTTTTAATTGTTTTATCTTGATGGGGGGGGGGGGTTATGAATGACGTACGTCGCCCAGAGCCCTGTGCTGCAGGGATTGGGCGATTAACAAATTTAATATATAAATAAATAGAATATAAGCAAATAAATAAGTAAAACATGCCCTTTCCTCTCACAGGCACTGGTTGGCCCAGGAGTACATCTGGATCGTGGTTTCTTACATGGCCTACGATCTGTACATCATGTACCTCTGCTACTGGCACAAGAGCGAAGAGAAGGGGGAGGCCCAGCAGAAGCACTCCCTGGCCAGCGTGAAGGGCTTCCTGCAGAGGGAGCGGCTGATGGTCACTCACCACATCTTCATCCTCGTCATCCTCACCCCTGTGGCTGTGGTGAGAGCACGCGAGGAGGGATGCGGTGGGAAGGCCGGGATGGAAATGGGGGTGTGTGTGGCCCGGGGGAGGGAGTTGGCTGTTTGTGTTTCGCTCAGCAGAAGTTTGTACGTCTCCTGTCTTGGGGGAATCAGTCTTCCACTTTCTTGCTTCCCCAAGTGCTGACAAATGTAGGCTTTGGGTGTGTGTGTGTAGCTGAATTAATGCGGCCAATTAAGATGTGCTAACGGCAGCATCGGAAGGGAGTCAAAAGAAAGACCGTGGCTGTGGAAGAGCTGTTGGTTCCCATGCAAAAGGGCCCAGATTCAGACCTGGGCAAATCTAGTGGAAGGCTGTGAGCGTGCATGTTCTGGAGGAGATATGTGACATGGTTTGGAGAGCCAGTTTGGTGTAGTAGTTAGGAGCAGCGTACTCTAATCTGGGAGAACTGGGCTCGATTCCCCACTCCTCCACGTGCAGCTGCTGGTGTGACCTCGGGTCAGTCACAAGTTCTCTCAGAGCTGATCTGTCAAAGACAGTCCTCGAAAGAGCTCTCTCTCAGCCCCACCTACCTCACAGGGTGTCTGTTGTGGGTAGGGGAAGGGAAAGGAGATTGTAAGCCACTCTGAGAAGGTAGTGAAGGGCGGGATATAAATCCAATCTCTTCTTCTCGTCTTCTGCTAAGGAGACAAAACAGTGCTGAGAAAGACAGAGGTGAAGGGAATCCAGTAGAGACTAGTAAGAAAGTGGTCGAAATGGTCCTTCCCATCTTTTCTTCAGAGTGCCCAGAGAGTCAGAGCAGCCGTGCAGAATCTGAGTTAGCGTCAGCCTTGGTGCCAGACCCGTAGACCTTTTTTTTTTTTTTTTGAGGGGCCGTGACCCTAATCTGGAGAACCGGTCCCCACTCCTTCACATGCAGCCAACCTGGTGACCTTGGGTCAGTCACAGTTCTCTCAGAGCTGTTCTCTCTAGAGCAGTTCTCTCAGAACTCTCTCAGCCCCACTGACCTCACAAGGTGCCTGATGTGGGGAAAGGAAGGGAAGGCGATTGTAAGCTGCTCTGAGACTCCTCAGGGTAGAGAAAAGTGAGGTATAAAAATCAACCCTCTTTCTTCTAAAATAGACTCATTCTGTACCGGTTAAGGACAGCAGGTGTGAATGAAGGGTTTTCTCTGCCTGTGTCCCCGGAGAGCTGCCGCCACTCAAAACATAAACTAAGTAGGCCGCATAAAGACCAACAACCCTTATTTCAACGTGAGCGTTCGTGGGTCACAGCCCACTTCATTGCGAAGCGGGCTGTGATCCACACAACAGCCTGTTGAAATAAGGATTGTGGGTCTTTACAGTGCTGCTGGATTCCTGCTGTACATTGCTCCAACCGACGCGCCCGTACAGCCAGTTAGGACAGACCGCCCGAAGCTTCGATGGACCAGTCAACCTCCTGGCTCCATATAAGGCAGCACCCTGCGTTCCCAAGAAATGGGAAGGAAATTCAAGCAGCAGTGCCCCCAAATCAAGTGCATACCTAGTTGCGATACTCTCTAAAAGAGGAACAGTTTAGTGAGCCACTGGGAGGGAAAGAAAAAGGGGCTGGAGGTGGGGGGAGAAGAAGACGACGACTTCAAGGCAGGGGTCATTTCGTAGAAAAAGAGGTGCAGGAGCTCATTAGCATAACTTATTAGCATAACTTGTTTGCATATGCCACACCCCCTGACATCACCGGAAGTGTGTCAGATGGCAACACCCACCACTCAGGCTCCACTGGACTGTTTTGGATTGCTAGCTATTGGGGGGGGGGAACGATGTGCAGATCTGCCCTCACAGAGGAGGGAGAGCTTGTACCTGAATAAAACTTGGTCTTAAAGGTGCCACTGGACTGTTTTGGATTGCTAGCTATGGGGGGGGGATGCACAGATCTGCCCTCACAGAGGAGGGAGAGCTTGTACCTGAAGGCGGGGGGGGGCGCTCTGCAACTTACCTGGCTGCTTCTTGCTCCTTGTGGCCCGACTGAAGGCTGCTGGGAGCAGGGGGCGGGGCTTGTTGCATGTGCCCACCCCCTGGGCTACTTACTGCCGGAGGTCCGCTCCTGTGCACTCCCGCAGGAAATGACCCCTGCTTCAAGGGCAAAGTAGTCTAGTGTGTGGGTGCACAAGGAGCTAGCATAAAAACCTCCTCCCGTGTGCCCACCCCTCTCACCTCTCTGGCAATAAAGGCAGACTCCACAGGCACTGTTCCCTCTAAGCTGAGTTAGTGTGAGCTAGCTCACAGTTTTTTAGCCTGCAGCTCACACATTTTTGTCTCCACTCAGGAAGGATGGCTCCAGTGCAAACTAATTTATGCAGCAGCCAAATTGCTCACCCACAACTTTAAAGCCAGAGCTCACAAAGTAGATTTTTTGCTCATAAGACTGTACAGCTTAGAGGGAGCATTGACCACAGGGGCTTGGCACTGGCCGGCAGCGCCACAGACCTAGACAAGGATGAGTGTACCCTGGGAGGCTGTGGTGTAAGAGGGGTTAGAGCATCAGACTAGGATCTGGAAGGCCCAGGTCTGAATCCTCTGCCATGGAAGCTCATTGGGTGACCTTGGGCCAGTCACGCACTTGCAGGGTTCTTGTGAGGATAAAATAGAGAAGGGAACGATGTAAGCCCCTTAAGGGAAAAAAGGTGTAATATAAATGAAGTAAATGAGAGCCAGCCTAGTGTAGTGGAGCAGAGCAGAGAACTCTAATCTGGAGGACCGGGTTGATTCCCCACTCCTCCACATGCCGGCGGCCGGGTGGCCTCGGGTCAGTCACAAGTTCTCTCAGAGCTGTTCTCTTTCAAAAGCAGTTCTCTCAGAACTCTCTCAGCCCCACTGACCTCACAAGGTGCCTGATGTGGGGAGAGGAAGGGAAGGCGATTGTAAGCTGCTCTAAGACCTCGGGGGAGCGGCTTGCACCCCAGCGGTATGGAGGGGTGCTACCTCAAGTAGCACTCACATGGAGCCTTTGTGATAGGCCAGAGGGCTTTTGAGGGGCAGCCTCTTCCACGGCTCAATGCCGGAGAATTAAGGCTTCCCTCCGCCCTGACGGTCCTGCCGCTGTGTGGCCCTCGGGCACAAGCTGATTTGACTGGGACAAGCGCTGGAGATCGAGTGGAAAAGCGATTTCTGCGAGCGAGGTCAGAGAAATGACCAACAATGAACGTGAGTTCAAAATAAGCAGAATAATTTAAAAGCGAACTACCCCCCCCCCCCCCCCCCGCGGAATAAGCTGAAGGTTGACGAGGGTTCAAAAAGAATGACAGGACACAGGTCTGCAGAAAGCTGTGTCTCCCAGCCAGGCTGGGCAGCGTTTATATAGAGAAAAACTCACTCCTTTCTCCCTCCTATACATCAAATCACTCCACCATGAGAACAGACATCAAGAATGTTGTTATGCTAACGACGCACTCTTCCTATCTTCCCGGGCTCTCGGCCAAATGACTTCATCTGCTTAGGAAGTCAGCAGATGCTACTCGTGCTCTCAGCACACACATACTTTTGGGTTCCCAATTTCCAGCCAGGAGAACAGTGAATTATCCGGGCTTGCCACGCAGATATTTTCACTGTTCCCACAAAAAGCGGAGCACAAAGAGGGACGCCTCTTATGCGAAGGGACAGATAAGCGAAACGAAGGGGCAGGGGGGGAAACAAGCAGTGATCTTGTTTTGAGAGACTTACTTGAGCGCTGACATTGAGATGACGATTTTTTTGAGCCTGTGAGAAGCGGTTTGGAATTGTAAACAATCGTATAAAATGGCGGCCTCGCAAAGAAAGTTTAAAACGAAACTGGCGGGTAGTCAGAGTCCAAAACCGGAAGAGGAAGCAGACGTCATGAAAATGTTAGCGGATATGCTCAAGCCGGTGGTGGAGCAACTCGATGGTATTAACCAGCAACTGACTTCCTTGAATCAAAACTTCACATCCCAGCAGCGCCAACTGGCAGAGACGGAGAAGAAGGTGGAGCATGCGACCGAGAGAATTAAAGAGATAGACACCACAAATAAGAAAACGAAGAAAAGAATGGGGGAAGTTGAAGCAAAACAAAACTTCCAAGAAAACCGTCTGATACAGCTACAAATGGAAAAAGCCAATATGATTCTCAGATTCCAGGGAGTGTCTGAATCGGAAAAGGAGGATCTGAGGAAGCTTCTCAGCGAGATCACCGCCTCAGCAATAGGTTCAACAGCGGATGAACTAGTAAAAGAGATGGAGACTGCCTATAGGGCATACTCCAATTATATTTAAAAAAATAGCCTGCCTGGAGAACTTGTGGTCCGATTCTCAAGAAGACAGACCAGAGATGCTATTTTAAAAGCGACTTCAGCAACTCCACTGAAACTGGGGAATACAAACATTAAAACTTTAAAAGACATCCCATTTGAAATTCGCCAAAAGAGGAAAAGCTATAAGGACTTAATTTCATTTCTTCAAACCAATGGAATTTCGTACAGGTGGGCGATCCCAGAGGGTGTCATCTTTAAAATCAACGACAAAAGAGAAAAAATTCACTCCGTTTTTAAAGCCAAAGAATTTTTGAGACGTCAGTTGGGATTGGAGGAAGAATCCAAAGATGAAGA